TGACAACACCACCTCAAGGTTGAAGGCACCACAGTCAAGCTCGACCCCCTACCTCGTGAACTTCAGCAGAGCTTTCCTGAATGAACAGGTGAGTGAGAGCACTCTAGAGTAAGAGTGTGGCAGCACCAGCTCAGACTGGCTGGGTAAGGAGAGCATCTCTAGAGCCAGTTAATTCTGAGGGAGGAACACACATCATTGCAGCAAAGGCCAAAGCTCTGGCCAAAGAACGCAGCTTATTCTGGGGCCACCAGTGATTGCCACTGGCAAAGGTATCATCGAGGGGCCTGGTCTACGAAGATGGTGTGTACAGCCCCACACTGCTAGCCACAACCCCCACCTACCAACGAGATAACCGCCGTGAGCCTCATCAGACAGACTGCAGGAGAACAAAGCAAGGTGACCAACCATTCTGGAACATTCTTCTGTCTACACAATACCAAAAAACCCCTTAAAATTCAAAAATTGCTTAATATAAAATAACACACACACACACCCTTACCAGTCATTAGATTCTGCCAAATTTGCCACCTAATTGACTCTCAACATCTACAGCCTTCTTATTTCCCATAGTTATCTCCCTGGTTTAACCTAACATCTTTCAACTGGCTCACTGCAACAACGTCCCAAGGGTTCCCTCCAGCACTTTGCTCTTCTGCACTCAATTTTTCCTCTAAAGATATGTGAGCGAGATCTTATGAAAACCACATCTGATTATGCCACTTCCCATCTCTGATGGCTTTCTTTTCCCAGAGAAGCAAGTCTCAACTCCTTAGGGTGGCTTACTGAGTCTTTCACAACTGAAGTCGAACCTCCCCTACCACTGCCTTCGTTCCCCATGACTCACCCAGTGCTCAAGTCATGTGTCTTCCTGCTGGTCCCTTTGCCTGAAACACACGTCCCCACCCTGCCCTTCTAGGAACATCGGTCATCCTTCAAGGTCAAGCTCCAAAGTCCCCATTTGGTAACACAGACCCCTTCTCTATTGATATAATCACAGAATTAAGTAGGAAATAGGATGCCTATAGAAGAGGCAATTTCTTTAAAGAATCAATAGCCAAAAGTTAAGCTCACTATCATAATATTTAGAAGAAATAGCCAATTTCTGTCCTCTTCTTAAAGTTCTCACATAATTTTCAACACTTAGGAATACATGCTGGGTAATTTTGCCTACAGCTACTTTACAGAAAATAGGAAACCAAGTGCTTCCTGAGAAACTTGTGATAATTATACATTTAACTTCTTTTTCTATTTCAGAAATACCTTGGCAAAAGCACAGAGTGAAATGTTCCTCTAATTGCATGCATTTGTAATCATGGCGTTTACCAGTTCAAGCAAATATTAAAAATGCCTACTCAGAAAGCTCTGAGCCCCTTCAATTTGTAACGAGACATGCTACCAACAAAAGCTTTATTCTATCAAATTCCTGTCTTTCTCGTTTTGACACATACATACAAAAAAGGATGTGGCATTGTAAAACTGGAAAAGAAATACAGTTTTGTATGAAGAATGACTCAAATGGCACCTTGGACCTTAGCTCAGGTTTCCCCACTGTCTCTTTAAAAACCAGTGGACTGAGTGCTGGCCTGTGAATCGAAAGGTTGCCAGTTTGATTCTCAGTCGAGGCACATGCCTGGGTTGTGGGCCAGGTCCCCAGTTGGGGACGTGCAAGAGCCAACTGATTGATGTTTCTCTCCCTCCCTTCCCCTCTCTCCAAAAATAAATAAATAAAATCTAAAAAAAAAAAACCATTAAAAAAGGAAATCTGTAAGTCACTCCAGGGTTTGATCATTTTTGCTATTGTTATAACAAGAGGAGGAAACTGCAGACCTAGGTTTACGTTAAGTAAACTGTAGTTTCCTCTGTACTTGCTGTGCATTGTAACTGAGTTCTTGTGAGTAAGAGCAGATGACGACTACTGAAAAGAAAGCAAGGGCAGGAAAAATAAAAACGCTGCCCCCAACTCACAGACACTATGAACGTCATGTGCAGGCACAGGTATTGATGTACTGAATGCTGAAGACATAAAAGAGCAATGTAACCTACCAGATGGTTTTTATTCCCAATAAATTATTGTAAAAAGTGTAAGCATTTAGTACCAAATAATCCATTTAGAGGAGTACCCAACAAACACCAGCCTTGAATATGGAAGCAACCTACGTGCCCATCAATCAATGATCGCATAAAGAAGATTTGGTGCCTATATACAACGGAACATTATGTGGTCATAAAAATGAATGAAATCTTACTATTTGCAACAGCATGAATGGACCTAAAGGTGTTACGTTAAATGACACAAAGCAGACAAAGCAATGCAAATACCATATCATTTCACTTCTATGTGGAATGTAAAGAACAACAGAAACACACAAAACAGAAACAGACTCATAGATACAGAGAACACACTGACGGGTGCCGGAGGGGAGGGAGCTGGGGGGCTGGGTGAAAAAGGTGAGGCATTAAGAAGTAGATTGGCAGTTACAGAACAGTCACATGGATGCAAAGTAATCTATTAGGGAATAGATTCTATAATATTTTAATAAGTATGTACGGTGTCAGAAGGGTACTAGACTTGCCGAGGGGTCACTTCATAGATTATATACATGTCTAAGCACTATGCTATAAGCCTGAAGTTAACAAAATAGTATTGAATGCCATCTGTAATTGACAAATAAAAGTAAAACATTTAAAAGGAAAGAAAAACATGAACATGGACAAAAGTGCGGTGACTGGGGGTGGGTGGTAGAAGAGAGGACGGGGGCATAAATGGTGATGGGAAAGAATGTGAAGGGCAAAGAAAAAAATTAATTTTTTTTAAATTAAGAAAAAAATAGCATTGAGACTCGATTAGTTCAACTGGTGTCATCCTGTAGGAAGGAGACCACAGAATGCCTACATTTTTATTTATCACCAAGGAAGAAAGATCCTTATCTTCCCTTCCTTTCAGCTTCAGTAGTAAAATTCTACATAGAAAAGGCACACAGTTCCATGTTTACTTATACACCACCTTTCCTCTCAAAAGCACAAACACTTCAGAGCTATGAAGAATGCACCCATATTAGGACATTATGCAAGAAGTACAAACCGTTAGTATTCCACTTTACAATCAGAACATGAAGGTTTGAAGACAACAGAGTAGAGAACATAAGCAAAGTTGCCAACCTCCTACCACTAAGTTTGTCTCACGTTAAGTCTACAATTACCGGCATCAAGTTCAGGTTTCTATTATTATATATTTGGAGGGTATTATATCTTCACAAACTGTAAGTATTCTGAACTGAACTAAATACAAGTCAAAGGCAACACAGGCACCTTTTAAACAAGCATACAGTTGTTTGTGGCCTCAGGCTGGTGCTCTCTAACCTTGGTGAAGCGGTACTCCACTGTTCGGTTGAGTTCAAAAGATCCTATTCTATGCTCAGGCTGTCACTGGCCCACTAAATGGAATGGGCAGCACCTTCATTGTAAAGTTTGTTGCTCATTTTAAGGATCACTTGGAAAGAAACATGCCTACAACTAAACTATAACATGTTTTCATGCCATCAATCATTACTCCTCATGCAGATTTCAGTGATGCATTGTGAAATCAATGAAATATGGCATGTGAAAATGGGTGCCCTTCATTAAAATGAATGAAAAGAAATAATGTTTTGAGAAACTTAAGCCATAGGTTGCAATATGCAAATATGCTTAGGACATGGCAGGGGTTAGGAGTCGGTCTTCAATACCGCCAACCTTCCAATTGCTTTTAACAACTTGAGTCCCTAAACTTTTCTCTTTTTTTTTTGACTGAATTGTTATTGTCATTTTTCCCATTACCATTTAGTCCCCTTAGACTCCCCTCCTCCCAGCAATCACCATGCTGCTGTTCATATCCATGAGTCCTGTTCCTTTTTGCTCAATCCCTAAAGTCCCTAAATTTTTCAATAGTACCTAACGAAGTGAGGGCTCCTGAGACCTCCGTTTGTAAAGTCAATAGTCACCCCCAGAAATAGTTCTATTACAAGGCTTTGAAGTTGCTGAATTATTCTGTGCCTTGAGACACCCATTGTTATGACTGGATATTACACCGGGAGAGATGCTATGTTACTAAACTAAACAGCCTGCTCTCTGAACATCCTCCTCTCCTGCTTAGGAAACCCTCTGGTATTGATGGCCTTGCAGCAGAAAGAGCATGAAGCACTTTTCTCCCTTTTGGAAAGGGTTGAAAAATAAAACTGCAAGGAAAATTAAAGTCATGTTTATAAGAACTGAGGAATTTTCCCCTCCATGGGCAGCCCTGGCTAGTCTGGCCCTGGGAGCAAAGTCTGACAAACAACAACAAAAGCCAACAGACAACAAAGTACAGCAGAAGAAAGTGGTTCTATTGTCTTCTCAGCATGAGGGCAGCGTCTCAGCTCCACGGCACGCTCTGAATAAATGCTTTCAATAAATGCTTTCAGGGGATCCGAGCAGAGCGACCCTTTCCTCCAGTTTAACTACAATTGAACAATATAACTCTTGTTGGAATGCAAACATTCACAAGACAACTCCCTTCTGACTCTCCCGCTTGGTGAGAGTATCTATAATCTGTTCTTCTGTTCTGGCCTCTTTCTAGTGGCTCGGGATACATTTGTTTGGTAACTAGAACCACTCTTGCCCTAATTATAAAGAACTACAGGTTCTTTCAAAATTCACACTCTACAAACTTTCTGACGGGATGACATTCCCAAAGTCAAACTTGAAAGCCATCAAATCAGGACCATAACAGATATGCATTCATAGTTGCTAACGTGTGTTCTTATACTTCCACATGACTTACTTTTGAGAAGAGTTCTCTTATAAATCTGGTGTCATAACCACTGGCTTCAAGCTGTATTTTTACTAAGAAGGATGTTTTAGGGGGTAAAAAAAAAACCCTTCAAGAATGTAAAATAAAAAATTGTTTCCTTCGAACATACAACCAGGCAAAAACATTTCCTACCCCTTTAGACCTGCACCCCCAAGAAAGAAAAAGGGCTTACGTGTTCAGATTTCTCCTGGTCTTTTTTGTCCGTCTGCAAAAACTGACAGTTTTCTCTCGCCAGCTTCTGGACCAGCTCAATTCGCCCCATGTCATCTCTCTCCTGAAGCTTGCACATCACCCCTGCCTTCAGAGTTGGGGAAAAAGCAAAGATATACTTAAATCCACAGTCCCAGGACATGACACCGCCGCACAGTTTCCCTTAGAATAAGCTCATCTTCTCTGTCGCCAGGATTAAATCATGGTCCCGGTAAAACAACTGGCCTTCTCCACACTAAAGTTGTATTATTTAAATCAAGGACTGCCACATCAAAAGTCCTCAAGTTGAGATCATCGATCAGTCTACTTTAAGAGAGCGAAGGGCCAAGCAAACTAAATCATTTGTTACTAATGTGTGCTCCTGATACGCCACTATTTGTTCCTGACAGCCTGTTTCCTGTTACATAAGCAAAGCCTAGCAAGAAGGTTAAAAACTCATGGGAAAGTTAGCCAGGAACCACTCTGGCAAAAAGGGTGAAGTGATACAGAGTTCTAAAAATAACAGGACACAACCTCCTCATTCTCTAGCTCCACCAGATCATTCCATGTACAAATACACTGTTTACAAGATCACAAGGTTATTTTTTGGGTTTTTTTTTTCACAGCTGGAAAGTTACCATGGGTCATTATTAGCAAAATACTTCCAATGTTGCAGAAAAGATAGTGGAAAAGTTTTTCAAAAATAAGCTGGAAAAAAAGGCTTAAAATTTCTCGAGGACTTGGAAATGATCCATAAAGCATCATATTTTTTATTACCCCAAAGTACCTAAGTAATAATAATATGAAGGAGGAGAATCTAGGACTTTGATTAGATGAAAAGGTATGTTTATTATACACAAGTTATAAAATGTTTCTGCTCAAACTCTTTCAAAAATGGTTCATACCGACATATCAGGACATGATCAATAGAGAAATAAACAGTGACTCTTAGCAGGAAGAGTCAAAATATGGAGTTTTTGTTTTACCCAAGACAACCTACACCATTTAAATGAACTCAGCAAAATAATGAAATGTGCAAAGGTGCTAGAACTAATCACAGCTTCATGGTCTTGCCACTTAGTGCTAACGACACCCATTAGGTTCAGTGGGCATCAGAGAAATGGGACCACATGCACAAAGCAATGGCTACATCTTTATTCCCCAGGGTGAGGGCCACTACTTATCAAGGAGTTTCTCCAACAAGTAGGAAGGAAATAAAAACAGTCCCCTAAGTGGCCTCAAATCACCGAATTCCAGAGGACAGCAAGTGGAACTCCCTCACCCGAGTCAGAGATTTATTTTTACAACATCCTCACAAGAGGTATTTCAGTTTCTTTCCAAGGTTTCCTCGTACAGACGTCTCAGTTTATCTTAAGACAGCCTGTGTACTTTGAAGGGTCAGAATTGTTGGAAAGTCCCTTGAACACTAGACAAAACTCTGAAACCACTGAATTTCAACCATGAGCACTAGTTTTGCCTTTTAAAGCAACTGAAACTCTATTTATTCAATATAACCATTTTCAAATATTTAAATACCAATATTTATGATAGCCTCCTTTTAGCATTCCCTTCTATATCCCCCAGCTCTCTACTTCACTTATTCATTCATCCGTTCTTTGATTCACTCACTCAATAGACTTTATTTAAGCAATAGTCATGTGCTAAGTAAGATCTACCATAGGTTCTAGGGATAGTAGTGAACAACAACTGCAAAAAGACAAAGTCCCACGTTGAGTTTACATGCAATAAGGAATTTGGATTGCATAACATACAGATATGAAATATCAGGTGGTGATACACAATAGGAAAGAAAATAAAGCAAAGTTCGTAAAGAAATGACTAGAGGATTCAGACAGAAATGTCAGGGAAAGACTCTGTAGTAAGATGACATCTGAATGGAGACCTAACAGAAGTGAGGAAGAGTGTTTCAAGCAGAGGAAGAGAAGTGCAGGGGCCCTGAGTCTTGGGGGTGTTTGGCAGCTTCAAGGAAGAGCGTGGCTGAAGCAGAAATGGGTAAGGGAGAGGGACTGGTAGGATGGGTGGGAGAGGAGATGCTGGCCCAAATTCTGTGGCTTCCTTACGGGCTGTGTAAGGAGTTCAGACTCTTTTTCTGAGCAAGATGGAAACCTATGTTCAGACCTTTACAGGTCTGAACATAGGACTGGCATAGTCTGACTTACATTTAACAGGATCATTCTGTCTCCGGGGCTGAGAAAACACTGCTGGATAAGGACAAGTAGTTGAAGCTAGAAGATCAATAAGGAGATAGATCTTCAGACAAGAAATGGCTTGGAACTTGTGGTCGTGGTGGAGATGGTGACAAGTGGTTAGAATTTGGGTGTTCTTCAAAGGAAGGAGCAGCAGATAGTGTTGTTCCCATGACATCTGGCCTGAGCAGCTATAAGGGCAGGCTTGTCATGTACTGAGATTGGGGAGACTGGGAAGAAGGCCTGGGAGGGGATATGCCTATGAGACACCCAAGTGGAGATGCAGTCTGGGGGCTCAGGGGAGAAGTCCAGGCTGGAGACAGGAATCTGGGAGTCATCGTAGTGTAGACGGCATTTAAAACCAGGGGAATGAGCAAGGTCACCAACGGGATGGCATAAGCAGAGAAGAGATTGAAGAACCGAATCTTGTGTTTAGACATCGGGAAATGAAACATAACCTAAGAGGAGACTGAGAAAGAGTGGCTGTAGGGGGACAACCTAGAGACAGGTGAAAAAGGTGCTCCAAGGAGCCACTGAAATTACAAAGGCGATGGGCGCAAAATAGCTGACACTGAATTTCACAAAAGGATTTGGTGACTTTACACGTAGCTTTTTTTTTTTTTTTTTTGAGAAAGAGAGAGAAAAGTGGTAGGGGAGAAAATCCTTCTTAGCCTGGGTTCAACAGAGACCGAGACAACTCTTCTCAAAGGTTTCATGATAAGAAATGGGGCGCTAGCTAACGAGTGAGGCCAAAGGGAGTTTTGCTGGCTTGCTTGTGTAAGGTGAGGGGCACTGCAGCATTTGTATCTTTATCAGCAATCACCCAGGATGGAGGGACACCTGATGGTGTGGGAGGGAGAGAAGGCATTAGCAGGACTGCGAGAAGATGCTGGCGGTATGAGAAGAGAAGTCGTTTCAGCTGTGAGGGTTGGCAAGTTTTCTGTAAAGGGCCACAGTGCACACAGTCTAGGCCTAGCGGGCCATGCATGTGGCAACTCTGCAGTTTCCCAGCATTGGGGCAAAAGCTGCCAGAGAAAATATGTGCATGGAAGAGCACAGCTGTGTTCCAGTCACACTGGGCTCACAAAAACAGGCAGCAGGCTGCAGTCCCTCAACTCCTGACCTCAGGGAAGAAGAAGCGGGACGAGGGAAGCAGAATAAGGCTGCCAGGCTTCACTAAGGACCCACTTGACTTTATTTTTAGGCCCTTTCCCTGCCCCAGCCATCCTCCCGAGGGTGCATTTTTGTCTGTCAGAGTTTTAAGAGAGCCCTTAACCTGAGATAATGCTAAATACGTGAGCCAATCTTGAAGACGCTTTTTACATCAGTAGGAGAGAGTGAAAGAAAATCAGTGGTGTTAAGCGCCATCCTTTAAATTAAGAAGGCAACTCCTCAGAAAAATTTCTACACAAAAATGAGTAACATTCTTTAAATGTTTTGACATTTAAAGGAATATGTTTCTGTTATCTGGAAAATCCACTTATGTTGACCACCTAGAATTTATTCTCTCTCCATCCACATCATCCTCACGGTTTTAAATATCCGGTCCTGCCCATGAAGAGGAGGGAACGTCCTGCAACCTCAGAACCTGCTCCCCGGCTGTCTGCTCAGCAGTGTGATGGATTAGTCCTCACCTCCCTGCTCCCCAGGGTGGCACCGGGTGGGTATCAGTACAAAGGACACGTGAACCTGGGGCCAGGCTGGGGCGGACGCAGGACTGCAGAGCGGTCTCATCTGGGAAGTAGACGAGCCTGTCATGCCTTCTCACCGGCACAGGCTCCAAAGACACTGGGCTAAACGCCTCTGGGCTCCCATTTGAAGAGTCTTTCCTTCTGCTTATGGGTCCCATATACATTAAACACACACACACAACTGATAATATCATCAGCAATAACAGGGTGAGACTGCATGAAGAAAATTTAAGAGACCTTGACTTAAATATTTTGTTGGTTCTGTGTAAGCATGAGTTTTTAAGGAACTCTCAACATTCTTCATATCATATGCTTAAGATTCTAAAAACAGACTTTTCTTTCTTAAGAAAATAGATTTTTATTAGAACCCGAGACTTGGCTACAAGTCTACAAGTTTAAGATACAAATGATGTATCTTAAACACAAAAGGCTTTTATTACTTTTCAGTGGGTTTCAGATTGTCTTCATGATTTCATGTTTATAACTGAATCTTATAATTAAAAAAGGAATACTGCTGTCTTGACTTTCTAGTTTCTACATGATTCCTAAGATGCGTTTTCACAAGGTGATCGATTCTAAGCACTCCCTACACGACCCTTAACAAAAAAGGCTTTCAAGGAGGGCCATGAATCCTTCCTTATTCCCTGAAGAACCTGGAGAACAGAGATGCCCATACATCCTGCATCATTCCATAGGGCAGTCCTCTTTGTAGGTTCCACACTAAAGCAGATGTTTTCTGGGGATCCCTTTTAAAGCTCCACAATTTAGTGATCCAATTCAAAAAGCCCATGAATTCATTAATATACTTTAGGAGCTTTTTTATGGCAGAAGAAACAAGATGACTAACAGCTCTTGATCTGGACTTTTACATTCCTGGACTATTTAATTTATTGATGTGAAATTAATTATAAACAGTTTACCTAACAGTGCTAGGCCAGAAAAAAAAAAGATGAATGTATCAGTGTCAGAAGAGTTATTTAAGAGCCTTACTTCAAGGTCTACTTTGGAAAAAAAAAATCTGTGCAATGTATAATTAAAGCTATTCATATGATTTTCAGTATTTGAGAAATGTTATGAATGTAAATGAAAAGTCTGCTTCCTTTATAAATGGAGTCCTAAAAATGTGGGGCTCATTTTTCAGTGGTAAAATGAAACCTGGACAGGATTCCCCCAGGAAAAGCTATAGTGAAAAATGAACAGCCTTTACAGCAAAAGGTGAAAGGGCACAGTTGTATGTATGAAGCATTTTCTGCATGATTGTAACTTTTAAAATCACTGTCACGTGAAATTGCTATCAAGGGAAAATCCAGGATAAAAGAGTCCACCTTATTATTATTATTATTTTTTATCCTAACCCGAGGACACTGTTTCAATGCTTTTAGAGGGTTTGGGAGAGAGAGAGAGAAAATGGATATGAGATGACCCTCCAACCAACTAAGCCACACCAGCCAGGGTGAGAGAGTCCACCGTCTACAAAGCATGTTTACAATTACAGAATGTCATTCAATATGCATTTAGGGTATTTGAACAATTCTTACAAAACAGAGTCAGTTCTTTAAAAATTAAACCTTAAATAGAAAGTCATAAAGTATGTTTTTTACTACTTGAAACAGAAAGTCCAAGTGGCAGAGTAAAACAGTGACAGGTTAGGATGGTGTGTCCCATCACTCAACTGCCTGCACCTATTGCCAACAAAGAAAATATTAATCTCTTCCATGAAAATTCAGAACACAATTAATAATAAACACTATTATTATTATTATTATTATTATTAGGGTAGCAAGTATTCATTTTCTCAAATTCCTTCAGAGAAAGGAAGGAAACTAAGAATCACTTCTTCCTAATTAGGATAGAAAAACACACCCACCGATGATTGAGGAAGGACCCTGAGGCATTCCCCGTGCACCTGCTTACCACACAACGTGTGACGGCCAAGGCAGGCCTACGAATGCCCAGGACATCGCTAGTGCAGGCCTCAAGAACCATGCCAGGGTGTCACAGGGCCGTGGAAATCATTCAGTGACTACCTAGCCCCTCACTGTAAAAGTCGGAGGCAATGCAAGTTCATTTCTCCGGTCCTCCTGCTCTGTGGAAGCACTTGTGCCAATATACCACGCTGGGCAGGCAGGTCCGTCCAATACAAGCGCTCCGTGGTCCTGCGTGTGGGGAGCAGGGAAGAAGGCAGAAACCGTGGTGATGTGGAATGTGCTACTGTGATTTCCCTCAAACGTTTTCTTCATCTATTTTACTCATATGATGTTCTCTTCTGATGAAACTAAATATAATATATATTTATACACTGGATGAAGTAAGGTGTTCTCTCATTATGTATATTGATTCCTCGTGCTTTCAGACTAGAGTAGGGAGGTCACCCATATTTTAGCTTGTTTTGACCTGAGAGATATTACAGCTCAGATCTGTATCTATTACTGAATACTACTAAGTAGGGCAGCAAAATTCACAGATAAGGAAGTAGAAAGAGAGAATAAGCAAATTCTAACATCTGTGATTTAAAAGAATTGCCCTCTTTCTACAACACCCATCTGGCATTAAATGAGCACTGTTTTTGGTCTATTAAATAAGAGTCCCACTTTGGCTACTGATAAATTAACGGTCAAATATATGTCAGTTAATTTGCATATAATTAACAGTTATTGCCACTTAATATTAAAATAATTGATTCCAATAGGGGACAGTGAGAACAATGACTAAATCCAGTGGGCAGTGGCCATCTGAATAAATGTGAGCATTTCCAAACTGTCACACATTATAAATTACTCATTGAAGATCTCATCAGAGCCCTTAAACTAGAACCTGGCAAAACGTCTACACACTCTGGTAAACATGTTTTAACCCCCAGTCCTATGAAAGAGTTACCGTGAGTGAAGGGTCAAGAATGTGTCTGTTTGTGAAGAGACCCTAACAGTGGCTCGACAGTCCTACTTTGGCCCAGCCAGGGTAGGTCCCTTAAATATTCGAGCCAAAAGCAATGGGATAAATGATCACGATAATGACAACTCACCAGGCTAACTTCCTTTAGTGCCACATGCCAGGCACTGGTCTAGCTACTTCACATACACTCATTTAACCTTGAAAACAACCTAACGACTACCCCCACTTTATAGCTGTCGGAGAGGCAGTGCTGCAGTGGTGAAAAGCTAGGCTGCCAGAGCCGGGCTGCCTCCGTTTGATTCCTGGCCCCACCCTTCACCAGCTCCTCTGTAAAGCGGTGATGCTTACATTACCTGCCTCACAGGGTCTGGTGCGAGGTTTAAACACATTAAGGAACGCGACGACCTCAGCAGAGTGCCCAGGGCACGAGGTGTGGCAAACCAGGTGTTACCTCCCCACGCGGGTACAGAAAAGGCGAGTGGGGTCCTGGCCCACCACCGCTGCGGCAGAGCTGGGAAGAGACCCCCCCCATCTGGCCCTGACACTGCTCTCGTCAGCCTCACCCTCGCTGCCTGACATTTGCTGTGACTCTTTTACGAGCCAGCGCGGCAGGCGTGTTTTATGTTGCCTCATTTCAAACTCATGACAACTTTATAGTATCTCCAGTTTACAGAGATGAAAACCAAGCTTGCTAATTACTGCCAGCACCATGGGGACACTTTGGTGACAACGACGCAGATGCTGCCCTACAGAAACTTACAGGTTTCAGACATAAAGAACCTGCCTACAGGCGGGAGCTGGGAGGAGGCCGGGCAGGAGGCGGGCTCCACTCTGCACGCTCTCTTCACTCTGCCTGCATTTACTGCTTTACAACGGGGTTGCTTAAGCAGAAAAGATTTTTTTTGTGAAAAAAGAAAAAAGAAGGAACCAACACATTAGGGGACAACCAGAGTTTTCCGGTAGATGGGAAAGCTGTGTACAAGGCCAGTTTCTCTGGGCTCAGTGATGGTTTTACCCCTTCAGATACCCAAAGTTTTCCACAGCTGAAGGGCATTTTTTCCCCTGGTGACATATTTCATCACCTACAGGGAAGGAATGGCAAACCAGTTTCCACTTGACGTGTTTAAAGTATGCTCTGGAGTGAAGACTGCAATCATGTGAAATACCAGAGACCCGGGGGTACAGGTGTGTGCTTGCTTGGCCTCCGTCCTTCCTTCCTCCCTCCCATTTCTCTTCCTTCTGTCCCTTCCTTTCTTTCTTCTTTTTATAAAGATTTTATATATTTATTTTTAGAGAGAAAGGAAGGGAGAGAGAAAAAGAGGGAGAGAAGCATGGATGTGCAAGAGAAACATGCATTGGTTGCCTTTTGCACACCCCAAAACCCAGGCACGTACCCCGACCGGGAATCAAACTGGTGACCTTTTGGTTTGCTGGATGGTTCCCAACCCATTGAGTCACACCTGCCAGGGCCGGACAAGGCTTTCTCGGATGCATCAGAGAAGGTGACAGCTGCCTCCCCTCCTACGTAGGCTCGGCTTGTGACACCTGTAATTATGCGTCCCAGTGAACTTGACTCATGACTTTCAAGCCTAAACAGAATCTGTTCCTGGTCTAATTATTGATTCACTGGCTTTGAACAGTTTCCTGATTTCACTCCTTCATACACCCTGTGTGATTATGTCACTGCTGCTGATGAAAATCATAAGGTCTCGATGAGCAAGCTCGGTGTATCCTTTTGAGATACACAAAGAAATGAAATTGCATGAAGACATACTTTCCCCCATAGAATTAGTTCAAAACAAATAAAGAATAACTAAGTTTGGAAACATCTGTCCCACTAATAACTTAATGATTACAGAAAACTTCAAGAAAGGAATTCCTGCTTAGGTTTGCTTGGGAACCTGACAGGTAATTTCGGTATGACTTGTGGATGGCAGAATTTAGAATATTAGCACAGCCAAAAGACTCCAAACAATTCCTTACATGACCCTGTTAACACTGCATTCTGTGCTGTGTTGACTGGAAAACGTGACGTAATTATTCTGAAGACTTTTAGAACTTTAAAGGTGAAGCCAATGGGTCAACCAAGCTAAGAATCTTTTTTCCCTGCTTGAAGCTTTCTTGGAAGCATACGGAATATACAAAAATATGCACATATTTAACGTACGCATTTTGATGAGTGTGAACGTATGTGATATTGTGATACTGTGGCCACGACCCTTAAAGGCCGTTCCCGCTGCAGGGTGGAGGAGAACGGAGCAGCAGCCTGCAGGGTGGCTCACCTGCTTCCAGTTTCGGCACCGCATCTGCCTGGGCACAGAGTCTGCCCGATTTCTCTGCCTGGCCAGATCAGCCCGTTGCACCATCCATGCCACAATAGACTTCCAAACAGCAGACTCACCTTGGCCTACTCCTCCCATGTTCTCCCATGAAATAAAATTCAGTGGCTTATTTATTTTCCATACTTTTCTTTTTAATCCTCACAACTCTCCCATCACATAGGTTTATAGGTGAGTAACCTAAAATTCCAAAGGATTACGAAACTAGCTTTGGGCAGCTGGCTAATTAGTGATGTCGCAGAATGCTGCAGCTGGGCATCAAGGGGGAGGAATTCTGAGGAGCAGAGCTGAATTATTGTGGACTTGCAAAAGAAAGTCACCATTCTGCTTTTCTTCCTGCTGTCCCCACTTAAAAAAAACCCTTTAAATGTTCTGCTTTGACATAAAGTTAACAGCTGATAGCACGAGGGGTCCAAGTTTTCAGGTTGCAATAGCATCTGGAGATGGGTTGCTGCTGAAAGCACATCCGTGCCATGATACGGGGGCTGGCACAGAATCCTCGGCAGGTGCGGCATCACAGTGGTCCGTCTGGCGGGGCCCGGCCGGGCTGTCGGCCGAGCCTCCTCTGCCCTCCCAAGGGGGTGGTCTGCCCAAAGGGTGCTCTCTGATGGTCCTTCACTTCCTTCTCTTGCTTTTCCTGGGAAGTGGAGTGTGTCTCCCTGCCTGTTTCTCCCCCATGAATAAATCATCCATGTGCTGATCAATTGAGAGCCTTCCCTGTGAAATGTCTCTTTACATAAATAAGTCCTTTATTCCCACGATATGACTATTTTACAAAACACAAAAGGCAAAACCTACATCAAACCTATGCTCTCTCACCTTTCTCAACACAGAAGAAAGGTGACTGAGGGTCTGTCCCAGAACTGATCATACCTGAGAATCCGGGACACCGTCCACTTCTGTCACCGTCATGTGCTTGTCACTGTTTTCTTCATCTTGTTCAATTGCTTAAATAAATAAAAAAGAAGAGTATTAGATGCAGCACCATAAAAAATCTGTTTCAGATCATTGTCTTTCTGAAAGCAATTTGACAGGAAAAAATGTTAGGTAGATTCAAAACAATGTAACTGTCAGTACTATTTTTTCTATCACTTGGATGAACAGTTTAACCAATAGCACTGTGCACTTTTCATGAGCATTATTGCGTTTATTAAATCAATGGCAGTGGGAAACTTTGATCTCATCCTCCTTTTCACCATAACCTGTCAGGACATCTTCGTGTTAGTTTTGTGCTTTGCCCAAACGGAGCTGGAGTGTAGCAAAGATTTCTATCAAGTTCATGTCAGAACATTTTTAATGTGATTTTTTGGCTAACAGTTTAGTGTTATATAATGAAGGAAGCATGATATTTTATACTTGGATGGCTCAGTGCATCACCACCACCAGATTCTGAACGGTGGAGCCTTGACTCCGCCCTTCTCCCCGTACTTCCCAGCACCACCCTCTCCGAGTTCTGTCTCGAGTTCTGTGCTGGGGCTGTAACTTCCCATCACAAGGCCCCTGATTCCAGCCTCGCCCTGACACAGTCTAGCATGGGGAGAACTGCTAAAATGATCAGCCTCGAAAAAACAGAACAAGTGCCATGCTTTGGACTATGAATCGCTTATCTCATCACGTTCGAACTCTGTTCATCATTGAAAGTCCACCTTGAACTCTCTAGCTTCTTCCTAGTCTCCAACTTCACCTTGACCTTCAACACCAAAACATATTGCACCCAACTCTGATACAAGCACAGTGATTTCATTGTTTTTGTCTTCATACAGTTTGCTCTTCCACTTTGACAACTATTTATGAAGCACCTATAATGTGCCTGGCACGGGGTTATTCCCGTGAACACTACAGATGTGCCCCTGACCTTGTGAAGTGCACACCAATGAGCAAAAACTACTACTACAACTAACGGTAATAATAATAATGACACTTTAAAAAATAAAATGGAATTAAAGATCATGATAAGTGGGGAAACGACAGTAACCACGTGGAAGAGGTCGTTTTGGAGAGGCAGCGTGCAGTGGTGCCTCTCTGATAAGTGATAGCTGGGCTGAGACCTGAAGATGGAGACAACCCATGGCGGGTGACAGTGACATGAGGAGACCTGCCTGGAGGGAGTATAAACCATGGTGAATTCAGATCTTAGCCGAGGAACATGGGGAAGCACTGAGGAATTTAAAATCGGGAACTGCATGATTTGATGTATTTTTTCAAAAGTTCTTTTTGCCTTCTTTGTGGAGAACAGACTTGAGAGAGTCAACACAGAGAGACAGACCAGTTAGGTGACCGCTGCTCCCTCCTTGGTGAGAGATGACATTGACTTAGACCAGTCAGGGGACAAGAAGCCAGAGAAATGTGGAGGACCTGAGCTGTAACTTTAGATAAAATGAACACAATCTGCCAATGAACTGATTGCAGGGGGTGACATGAGGGGGGAGAAGAAGCAATCAAGGACGATTCCTAAGTAGAAGGAGTTACTGCTGATATCTATCACAGTGTTTATTCTTTTGCCCTCTCCAGAGCGAACCCAAAATTTTTTTAAATTAAAAAATTTAAAAAGCAGACCAAAAGCATACCAACCTCGTTGACACCGAGGTTACCCACTGTACTCTTGGATTCAATTTACATTGTTTTGTGTACTTTCAAATACTATGTTTTCTACTCTGTATTTTTAAAAATATCATTTCATGTTCCTTTCGCTTTTGCATGCCTTTTACACCCTCTTCAGTGCCATACACACAGCATGAGCCCTGTAACTGCTAACGGGATGAACAATTTCTCCCCAAGTGACCGAAACGGCACGGCTTGACGATACCACTTACATAAGCCCCGTCTTTCATAACTGTTTATGAAAAGAGAGAGGAGGGAACTTCTGTTCAGCTCCACGGGTACCTAGGATAACTCCTACCACCTGAGCATCTAAAGGAAAGCAGGCGCAGGGAAGGTGGGCAGAAGCTTTTCTTCTTTGTGCAGCAAGTTCCATTCATACTTGTTCAAAGAAGGTCCCCTGTTGCTACTGTTGCTCGATTCGGAGGAAACTTAAGAATAAAGAAAAACATGAATGTTTTCTCTGAAAAACTGGAGGCGAATGCAAAGGAAAAAATAAAGTATAGAATAACATCCTAAATTCTACTTAAAGACACAATGGGCTGGAACTCCATCCTACCAACTGAAGTAAGGAACGCCACTCAACTAATTGTAATAATATTTCTTTTCTCATCCTGTAATGTGCTGCAATTTTCCTGGGGGTGGGGGCACAGCTTGACGCCATACCAATGCCAACTTCACCTGCATGAAGCAGCGAGAATACTGTGGCACTTACTTTATGCTTTATTTGAACTTTTGTTCCTTCAAGTTTTAGTTTTGATGAAGAAAACTAAATTTTGTATTTTTTTTTACCTATTAAGTTCATGTTCTGTTTTAAAACAACAATGTTCTGGGGTAAAGGTATTTCTTTTCCTTACCTTATTATACTAAGAAATAGGACATGCAGAACAATGAATAATGATTTCAGAATTGAGAGTTAATACTATTTTTGATCTTTAGTCAAAATTCTTAATACATATTAATAGACTCAAGGAGGCAAGAGATCAGCACAAAAGCTTCCTTGGGACAAATATTCAGTCCTACAGTTTCAGCTTCTCCCTGACGACAGCGCTACATTTTTTGGTCATGCCTTTGAAGACCTCAATATAGCTGTCCTGCATTACACTTTGGCTAACAGAGCAAAAATCAGAAACACAAGCAAGTTAAGGGACTTGGCAAAGGGAACTCAGCAATCTATCTCCATCAGCATAACGGGGAGACTCTGCAAGTTCTGGTGGACTCCCAACCTCAGCACTCCGATCATGAAGAAAAGACCTCTGTCACTCTCTCTTTTATGAATCCTCACCCGAAGATATGATTATTGATTTTTTTCTTTTTAGACAAAGAGGAAGGGAGGGAGAGAGAGGTACACTGACATAAGAAAGAAACACTGATTGGTTGCCTCCCATATCCGCTTTGACCAGGGATTGAACCTGCAACCTGGGTATGTATCCTGACCAGCAACTGAACTAGCAACCGTGAGGTGCATGGGATGACCCTCCAACTAACTCAGCCACCCAGCCAGTGCTCATGACCTTGGTCTCTTCCAATACATAGTTAACATTATTTTCTTGGAAATACCAAACATTATGATTCCAAAAATGCATTGTAGCCAGTAGTTCATATATACTAGTTGAGAACAAAAACCGAATTTATATTGGACTTTCAAGAATTTATGATTTCTCCATGAAGGCTCGTGTGTAAGATACACAGTCAGTCACCTCAAAGGGAGTGCTCCACAACCATTTCACACAGAGATTAATGTCAAGGAATAAATAAGGAGGCAATTCCTCTCTTCATGCCTCCTCCGGGTGCGGCTCACATGGTGGAAGGAGGAGGAAGCAGTTATTTGGATTTTTGAGCTTCGTTTTGTCACTTATCTGATCAGAATAAGAGCAGGTTGGGAGAACTTTTCTCTGCAAATATTGATTCTGGGACAGTTCCCTCCAGTGTGATGCTGGACCAGGGAGGCCCACAGCCCAACTCTGTCAAAACAAACCAGCCCTGATCTGTCAACACACGGGGTCCAAAAGCAAGAAAAGGCCTTTGAAAACAACTTGCCACAACAAAAGTCAGAAGCACGCGATCAAAAGCATGTGTTCTGAGCGGTGAACATGAGAGCCCACATGAGAACTAAGAATATATGTGGATTAATTACTTAGCACTAATCACATAAGAGCCCTTAGCTTAAATGTACCGATTTGTAAGTTAGCCAAGAGCAATTCATGGGGAGCCGCAGTCGACAGTCTGAGAATGGAAGGGCCTACCTGATGTCACTTTCTTGTTGCCTTGGGGACAACAGGTACTCTCTTGCGACCACTTACTGGAATGGTGAACAAGAAAACTCTCCTCATAACTCTACTAATATTATTACTTAAACGCAGAGGGGATCGATGTACTTTGAAAACAATGCCGATTTAATTTCTGCTGATCCCCTTTGTGAAGGTAAGAGCCACCCTGACACTTGCGACACAAAAGGATCGTAACTCCCTGAGTGACAGCCGTTGCTAGCATTCTTTAAAAAAAATCAACCAAACTTCTTTTTTACTTACAAACCAACCAAAAATGTAACTACAGAGAGAAAGTCAGCATTTTGGGTCTTCATGTGAGAAATCAACAAACGTAGTTAAGATAAATAACTGGTTAAGTGTTTTGCCAAGAGTTGAAGTTTTGTCAGTAATATAACCTTCCACCTGTGCAGCGCTGCCCCGGGAGAAAGCTCTTTCACAAAGGGTCTCATCTGATGCTCACGCGACCCGACGACCTGGGGAGGTCCAGCCGCCCCCGTTCTACAGGCGAGCAGCCTGTGCTGGTGCTCCATGCGCCCGGCGTACCCGGGTCCAGGCTGGAGCAGCGCAGTGCCGGTCACGCTGCACATCGCAAATCCATTCATACAGACCCACGTTTCTGCCCACTTCTTTAAGGACAGAACAGAATACAACGGAAAGAACAGAGGAACATTTACAAATCCAAGTGCACTGCCACCGGTATTTCTCCCGGACGTGGGTGAGATAGATGTGCAGTGGCTCAGGCTCTGCTGTGTGTTCCATGGGTTGTGGACATAAAACCTAGGAAAACACAGACGTGTTTCCGAGCCACAGGTGGCAGGACCTGGTTCCTCATCATCTAAATAACCAGCTATTTGTTTGTGCCGTGCCTGGAGAAGGGCCCTAATATTTACTTTAGGAGGAGGCCCTCCACAGCACAGCGTCCTCACTCAGCGAGCAGCGCACCCCCTGGGGCAGGGTTCGGAGACGAGCTTGCGGCAAGAAATGCTGATGGCGTGTGTTCGATTGTGGGTGCCAGGGATGGAATCACAAATGCTTCAAAATGCTCAAGTCTTTTCTATTCTTTAAAAAAGCACGGGAGA